CAAACTCACAGATATTCTCAGAAAAGGAGAGAACCTTAGAAGTAATATTGGAGGTAATCCATATTAGGGTGATACATTGGCTGAAAACTTTGGCCTTGTTTGCAGACTTCTCAGTAGATGAGATGGTAAAAAACTGGAAGGAAATTGCAGAATTAGCCTCAGCCAAGAAGGCATCACTCTCTTGCTGGAGTCCCCCATCTAATGGCTTTCTTAAACTAAATTTTGATGGCAGCAGTATGGGTAATCCAGGTCCATCTGGAATAGGGGGGGCAATATATATAATACATATATATGTTATTTATTTATTTATAAATATATTTTTATAAATTTGTTATATTATTTGTTTTTTTATAAAAACATGTATATATATGATACAAATAATAATTTATTAATTTTTGAAGAAAACAAGTTGGATTGGATCATATCCAAATATCCAACTTACCAATAGGATTCGAATTGAAATCGAGTCCTATCAGATCCGATCGAATCTTCGAATTGGATCAGATCCGACATGGATAGTGTCGGATTGGATTCGGATATACCTTGATTCGAATCCGATCCGATCCATTTGCATCCCTAGTCTTGCCCACAACCATGCACAAAAGAAGTGAATATGATTGAACAAATTGAAGACAGCCCAGATTTTCAACCTCAAAATGAACAGTCTATTGCTGATGAAGAAGAGGTTTTGGGAGATTATGTTCCTTGGGCTTTTCCGGAAGAAGATAGGTTTGCTGTTGTGGTCAAGCGTATTCTTCATGCAACAGCAACCGATACTAAGGTTCAAAGTATTGATACACCTCTATATACCAACAGAGGTGTATAGGTACTAAAAACCATGCACTTTTATATATTTTTTAGTTTTTTTCTAAATTTGGTTTTTATATAAGTTTTTATATATTTTTATATTAAAAAAGAAAGAGTTCCCGAAACGCAAACACCTGGTGTTTCAAAACCCAAAAGATATGATATGATATGATCGATACGGGGCATATCGTATCGAAATTTTTATCCTTGATCGATACTTGACACACAAGAAAAGATCTTTAAGACACGATTTAGAATAAAAGATATGATGTGTGACTTAACTATTGATAGTGGGGCAAAAGCGAATGTCATTTCTAAATCAAATGTAGAGTAGTTGGGCTTGCCAACAAGACCTAGCATCGATCCCTTCATTAATGGTTGGGCGAAGAAGATTCAACCAGAAAAAGTTTTAGAACAGAGCAAGGTGGCTTTCTCTATTGGTAATGTATATTTTGATGAATTACTTTTTTTTTATAAATAACAAATACTTTTATTAAGAGATATTAATATAGAAAAATACAAAGGGAGGGGTAAAAACTCTTAACCCTCCCAAGAGAACATTTCAGATTACAATGTTGCCCAGAACAAATTATCTCTTCCCACCCCTTGTTTAGCCAATGAATCTGCCAAGGAATTGGCACACCTCTTAGTCCACTGAAATTTGACTTCCATATTTTGTATGAGATATCTAATTTTCTTCTTTTCATTCAGAAACTTCCACAAACTAGAATCATCTTTCATTAACCAGTTGATAGTCAAATTAGAATCACCTTCCACTATCAGGTTTCTGATATTTAATTCTCGAGCTCTTTTTAACCCTTCCATAACAGCCAATATTTCAGCTCTAAGAGAGYCCCCCCAGCCAATAGGACCCGAATACAATGCGATAATTCGACCTTCATCATCCCTGAAAGCTCCCCTATACCCGACAGACCTGGATTTCCTTCACTGCTTCCATCAAAGTTTAATTTAGTGAACCCTGAAGCTGGTGGGGACCAAACTGGGTGAATTACATTCGTCCTTGGAACTGACCAAGCCACTTCTTTCCACTAGTTTTCAAAAATGTGCAAAGTCTTAGCCCACTGAATCACCCTTATGGAAATTAATTCAGTAATTACACCTTTATTTCTTTCTTTCCCATGAAAGATCCTTTGGTTCCTTTCCTCCCAAACTGTCCAACATACAGCTGCTCTTACACATCTCCATAGAATTTCCCCTCTCTTCTTCAGCCCCCTAACAGTAGTAGAATGGAATAGGCTTTGTACATTTGATGAATTACTATTTGATGTTATGGATATTGATGATAGCCACATTATTTCGTGAAGAATTGGCAATTCCATTATGATGACACTCAGGGTCAAGGATAATCTTTATATTTTCATTAAAGATAAAAAGAAGACTACCTAATAGATTGCCTCCTACGAGGGAAATACAACAAATTATTGGCTTGACTTCAGGGGCTAGTTTGCTAAATTTACCACATTGTAGAATGAGTCCTAAGGAGCATGAAATAGGCAAGTGGATGAACTTCTTAGGAAAAGAATGGTGCAAATCAATATTAGCCCATGTGTTGTTCTAGCTTTATGCCAAAGAAGGATGGGAGTTGGAGGATGTGTGTGGACAGTAGGGTCATCAATAAAATAACTATTTGATATTGGTTTCTGATCCCTGGCCTGGGTGATATGTTAGATATGCTTCGTAGGGCAACAATGTTTTCTAAGATTTATTTGAAGAATGGTTATCACCAAATCAGAATCTGCATTGGATAAGAATGGAAAACGACTTTCAGACAAAAGAATGGTTGTATGAGTGAAAAGTTATGCCTTTTGGACTTTCCAATGCCCCTAGCACATTCATGAGGTCGATGAACTATGTTTTGAAGCCATTAATTGGAATGTGTTTGATAGTATATTTTGATGATATCCTAGTGTATAATAAGGACAATAAAGAACACTTACAACATTTGCAAGAAGTATTTGAAATTCTTCACCAAAATAAGCTTCATGCCAACCTTAAGAAGTGCAGTTTTATGGCCAAACAGCTTGTGTTTCTTGGGTATGTGGTCAATGATTCAGGCATTATGGTTAATGAGGAAAAAGGTTAAGGCTGTTAGAGACTGGCCTACACCTAAAAATGTACATGAGGTGTGCTCTTTCCATGGTTTGGCTACTTTCTACATGCGATTTGTATGACATTTCAGTAGCATTGTCAGTCTTATTACTTATTGCTTAAAAAATGGGCAGTTTCAATGGACATTGGAGGCAGAAAAGGCATTCCAATTGATAAAGGAGAAGCTAGTCAAAGATCCTATACTTGCTTTGCCCAACTTTGATAAGTTGTTTGAGGTGGAATGTGATGCTTCAATGACAGGTATAGGTCTTGTACTATCTTAGGAGAATCAACATGTTACTTTCTATAGTGAAAATTTAAATGAAGTAAGAAGGAAATGATCTACCTATGATAAAGAGCTATATGCAATAGTGTAGGCTTTGAAGCATTGGACACATTATTTGGTCCAAAGGGAGTTTGTTTTATAAAATGATCATCAAACTTTGAAGTATATTAATAACACGAACACTATCAACTGTATGCATGCTAGATGGATAGCCTTCTTACAAGAAATTACTTTTACTCTCAAGCATAAATCTGGGGAATAGAATAAAGTAGGAGATGCTTTGAGTAGGAGAGTTATTTTGATGAAAACATTGTAGGCAGAAATCATAGGGTTTGAATGCATAAAAGAACTCTATGCTATAGATGAAGATTTCTAGGTTCAATGAGAAAACTCCAAATGGGACAACATAATGATTTTGTCTTGCATGATGGTTTTCTCTTTCTAGGAACTTGATTATGCATTCCTAGAGGATCCTTGAGGAAGAAAATCATTAAAGAATTGCATAGAGGGGGTTGTTTGGGTCAAGACAAGACCATTGAAATGGTGGAGAAGTGTTATTAATGGTCACATCTCAAGAAGTATGTTGGAAAGTTTGTACAAGGTTTTTATGTTTGCCAGACATCTAAGGGGCATACCGCATACCCAAAACACAGGACTGTACATGCCATTGCCTACTCCAGAAGGTCCTTGGGTGGATCTTTCCATGGACTTTGTGCTTGGGTTGCCTAGAATTTATATGCAACATGATATAGTATTTATAGTAGTGGATTGTTTCTCAAAGATGGTTCATTTTATTCCTTGCAGGAAGAGAGCTGATACAACACCGACCTATTCTTTAAAGAAGTGGTTAGACTACATGGCATTCCAAAGTCTATTACCTCAGATTGTGACACAGAGTTCCTTAGTCACTTCTGGAGGACTTTATGGGGGCGGTTTGACTCTAAGCTACAATTTAGCAGACAAAGGTGGTGAATAGGATTTTGTTATAATTTGCAAGCAAACATTTATATACTGCTGACACATTAAACAACATGTTTGATAGAGTTGATCTTATGTTGCATAATAAAACTTCATCTACTGTTTGACCTTAACAAGGTATACCTAGTATGAGAAGTCCATGAAAACAATTTCTTCCGGCCATTTGATTTACAAACTAAAGCAAGAAGAATCTTTTTAATTTAAACAAATAAAGAAGGCTATTATTCTGTGCTGGTTCTGTAAGTCCTGGATACTGGGAGAGGTGAATTGGACACAGACCTGTCCTCCACTTTTTTGCATGTACTCTCAGACTCAAACCCATTTTCACATGCTTGTCAGTTTAAGATTTCACCATTCAACCAAACAATTGCACCTTTTTCAATATAAACAAAACATATTTAAAATTTGTGGACCATCAATACACAAGTTCATTAATAGATGAGCAAATTAAACTAAAGCAAGAAGAAGCTTTTTAATATAAACAAATAAAGAAGGCCATTATCCTGTGCTGGTTCTGTAAGTCCTGGATACTGGAGAGGTGAATTGGACACAGACCCATCCTCCACTTTTTTGCATGTAGCAACTCTCTGACTCAAACCCATTTTCACATGATTGTCAGTTTAAGATTTCACCATTCGACCAAACAATTGCACCTTTTTCAATATAAACAAAACCAAATTTAAAATTTGTGGCCCATCAATACACAAGTTCATAAGTTCATTAATAGATAAGCAAAGTAAGAGTTACTGTGTTAGTGCAGGAAAAACAGTAAGTAGAAAAATGGAATTTGGATACCTTTATGATCAGTGTTTTGTCGTTAAACATCTCTTAGAGGCATCAAAGATCAATATGCCACCATAATAATTCCAAAGAAATATGCATCATCATTTGTTTGCCTCATATCTAGTCCCTTTCAGAAATCTGGAAAAATTTTACATAACATGAAATTCCAGAGTCAACCATCGAGCAATAACAGAAGATCGGGCTGTTGATCAGTAGTTTATTCCAACCCATGTAGTCTGCAATCTCAAGCACGGCTGGGAGTCTAAATAAGTAGTCAATTGAGTGATGCTTTTAGCCTGTTATATGTGGTTGGGGTTGACAAGTTCAGAGAACCTGATCAACTTATGTGAGATTCAAACCAATCAAATATCTGTTCAGATTGCAAGCTAGTCATCTCATGGTACGCAAATGCAAGATTAAGTTCCTCCTGAATATGATGGATCCACTCATACTTATCTGGTAAAAGGTTTTGCTCCTTCCTGACAGCCTCCTTCCATTTTGTTGCACGACCATCTTTCCTCATGTATCCATTATCATCAATGAAACCTTTATTGCGAAACAATTCAAACAATTTTACAGAGATGGTATCATCAAGACCTGGGATTCTGTCAGCTAAGAGACTAGGGGCCAAGGGGAACTCCATGCATTTAATCTCTGAAACATCTACTCCTTTCCTCCTTAGAGCTTTCATATTTTTACCGATCAGTTTCATCCTCTCGTCATCTTTTGGCATGTGCACAAAAAGAGTAGGTGGGTAGTCATCTGGGATATCCAATCCTCTAAACAATCCTTCTGCAATCATAAGCGTGATACTACTAAATTTCATATCAGTAGCTAGAGCAGAAACAAAATGCCCACCAGAAGAGGCTCCCAAAGCCACTATAGGAAGCTTTTCAAGCCTGTTTTTATCAACCCACTTTTGGATAATTTCTTTTATAATTACTCTTTCCTCTTCAAATGACCAGCATCTCCCAGCACTAGATATGGTAAGAACAGCAAATTTCCGAGCAAGAGCATGTAGGACAATAAGCCTTTCTTCAGGCAGACCAACACAATTGGGGCAGCCAGGAGATCTGTCCCAAAAGTTCACAGCTCTGCCATTGCATCCATGAGCCAGAAAGAGAACTGCCTTTGGAGAATCAGGTATTTGCCATATCACATCTCTTCCATTACTGAGATCTAAAGTGGGTTGGAATTGAACAGAAGACCGAAAGCTGTTCCACTTTTGCCTTGAAATGTTGGGTGAAATTTTGGGTTGACCTTCCTTGCTACTTAGAAACAACAAGGAGAGAGTAAGTGCTATAACCAGTGATATGATCAGAACCACCAATCGGCAATTCAGGGCTCCATGCAATGGCCTTGTTGATTTGCTTCCACGCCTAAACATTTCTGCATAATTGAAAATGGCAACCCGATGTACTTGATCAAGACTTGTAATCAAATGAAAGAAAAATCCCAAGTTTCCGGTCTGAGCATGATAGGATTTACAAAAAATGAAAATTAAGTTTGTTCAATACAAAAGAAGTTACCCACTAGAAAGGTGTTCAGGAAAATTAATATCAGACTACCGAGGTTATCCAATACCTTAACAATCGACCCAAAAAATGAAATTAAGAAAGAACGAAAAGTTTCAGGGGAAGAACGAAAAGCCCCCTAGCCTCTAATGGTAAAATAAAATAGAAAGATTCTTGGATAAACAGGAATTACCCAGAACAGGTGCATGTAATAAACCATTAGAATCCAGTATCTTATTGTGTCAGATTAGATTCAGATTGGAATAAAGTTCTCAATCTTTAGAATGCCCAAAAATGGAAGCGTAGAATAAGGATAACAAATAAAAAATTCCCGATGTTACTCTGATTCCTGAGGGATCGATGTAATAGACATTATTGTCTTTCACTAAAAATCAAGAGAAGGGTTCCGGATAATGGGAAACTTACCTGAACAGGATAGAGAATGATTGCCAGAAAGATAGAAGTCGAGGGAAGAAGGAATCTCGTGATCCAGAAATAGCGTTTCAGCAAATATAAATCTGACCCGGGGGGAAGGGGGGATGCCGTTGCGGGGAAGAACATAAACGGTTTGATTTTGTTGATCTGGTTTGGTAGCCTCAGCGGCTCAGCCTGACTTTCAGAAGTAGGCGGGAGGAGTGCTACCACGACGCGCAACTACTGCCCCTTTTGGTTCGCAGGAATATGGGTCCGGAATCGGAATCGGAATGTCCAAATGTTTGATTTGGTGGAATCGGAATCCCATTCCCATTCCTGCTAGAATAGCATTCACCCGTTTGAGAGGGAATGGTTATTCTCTACCACTACCTTGGGAATGAAATCTCATTGATGTTAATTCTAACTGCCATTCCTATTTATGTCTGAACCAAACAGATTATGGGAATGGACCATTCTGATTTCGATTTGGAGGATTTCTATTCTAATTCCGATTCTGATTCCAACTGCAGGCCAAACGGATCCTAATAAGCCCTCACTAAAGGACAATAATATTTCAGGGAAAAAAAATTTTGTTGACATCAGTGCCCTCGCTCTAGACCTCTAACGAGGGAGTTCGGCTTCAGTCAGTGCAAACACCGTTCAAACAGCCTTTACAACCTTATATTGGGAATATCTCTATACTAACCGGTGTAAGCACGGGCTTGCTTTGACTGAAGCCAAACTCTGTGGGCCATGTCGTACCATTGAATTAAGGGTAAAATACAAAAACCTCTCCTATAGTTTCATTTTAACAAATGACACCCCTAAACTTTTGAGAAACTCAACAAAAGCCTCCCTTCCGTCATCATCCTAGATGGAAACATTAGACTGATGCACCAGTTTTTTCCAAATACCCATTCTACCATTTTATAAATTATTTTACATACAAAATTACTGAAATAATATAAATTTTTTAGCATAATTATTGTATAATCATTATTACTAGCCTTATCAAAATAATATAAATTTTTTATTTTTAATTTTATATTCATATAAAGTATTTAAAATACTACTAGAAATTGCAGTGTAGATATGTGTCCATTCTAGTCTAGTGATCAAAAAAATGTGTAGTAACACAAATATAAGTAATGTTATATTTGGATGTCCATATATCAGATGTAAGAGAAATTTTGGAATCTAAATTAGAAAGATTTGAAATTAAATCTTATTTATATACCAGAAAATTTTTAGAAGCATCATATCCAGTTATATTCCTAGAAACTTTCCTAAATTGAGGTTGAATAGCATGTTGCAAAAGAAAAAAAAAACTCTAACCTAGGCTCTTTAGAAAAAATAAAGGGATGTTCAACATGTACAATGTATTATTCATTAATTCTTGCCTCAGTTTCTCTTGGGAATATTTGAAATTACCAAATACCCAATTAGAAATTCACATTTGGTTTGAGTCATCATCTCCCTTTTTCACGCGAGATGTCATGTGTCTAGACAAAAGGCCATGCCACCACTACTGTGACAATTGAAATCATGTATGCATTTTTTGCTGACTTCGAACCACATTTAAATAACAATAATAATAATAATAATTCTTTGTGTCTAGACAAATACCCTCCAAAACTAGTCGCTTGTGGCTGAAATTTTAAAAATAATAATAATAATTTAAATCCAATCCGAAAATTGGTTTCTTGGCATTTTGAAATCTAAATTTCTGGATTGATCTTGCATTGAACTCGGACCAGATTTGAAACCCAAAGATAAAGCTAATCATACCCACATTCGATCTATGTTCTATGACAACTTAAGTTGTAATGGGCCTAAGGCTCATATTCTCTAATGGTTCACATCTCTAGGTGTTACATGGCCATTAAGGCCTGAATATTGTGTGGTGTGGGACCCACAAAGGTATCATACAAGTCTACAAGGGTTCAATCATACCCTTGGAAAGGGCCAGGCTGAATTCACCACCCAAGGGTAGTGAATAGGGGTAATCATTTCAGCCTGGCCCGGCCTAGCCAAAAATTTCGGGCTTTGGGCCTGAGTTTTGTGTTAAGGCCTGACCCGGGCCTGGGCCCACATCAAGCCCGCAATATTTAGGGTCGGGCTTGAGTTTAATACTTCAAGCCCGAGCCCAGGCCCAGCCCGACCCGCATATATATATTTAAACTTACATATTTTGTGTATAATGTATACATATGTATACATGTTACTTTACATTATATTATATATTTTATATATAAATATTATAATATGACATGTATAATTTATATTATATAATGTTTTATATATGAATGACATTGGCCCGGAATCAGGCCCGGCCCGGCCCAAGCCCATATAGACTTGGGCTAGGGCTTATGTTTCAGGCCTAGAACCCTAGGTCAAGCCGGGCCCGGGCCTAAGCTATAGCCCTTATCATAAGTGCAAAGCCTGGCCCAGCTCGGACCATGATCACCCCTAATAGTGAATCCCTAACTCAATCAGCTTGGGCTCAGTTTGGGCCCAACACTTAAACAATTTATTTATGTAAGACAAAGGCAATTAGGTTATCAACCCTCTAATGGTTTCTTTCCTTTAACCTCTCAGCTCATGATAATCAAAACACTACTCGTAAAGAAGGACCTCTTCACTAATTGCAAAATGTAGTGACATACTCTCCGCTCCAATGGATCTCAAGATTAAAACATTTTGCAATCATTTTTTTGAAAATAATATAATATATAAGTAAATATGTTTTATAAATCTAACTTTGAGTACAGTTGAAATCCACTATTGACAATTTAGGTCTCCATCAGAAAAAGTGTAAACCCTAATATTCACTTTGTTTGACAAAAGGGTCAATCCTATCATTATGATTACCCACTCAGGCAATTTCCTAAACGACTCCAACATGCCCAGGTATTTGATGGATCTCACTATTTGGTATATCAAAAGCAACTCGGTCTGAGGTTAAGTGCAATTTTTCAATTTTGCCCATTTGTCTGCAAAGACCCGGGCATAATTGGAAATTGGTCTAGGTTTAATGTTTTTTCTAAACACCCATTGACTATGTTTTGTGTCTAACCTTAGCAGCTGAGACAAGTTGCTCTACCAATTCAACAACACATCAATGTTGTTTGTCAGGATAAAGTCTCCAAATTTATTCAATGATTGGGAACATTTTAAACTAACACATGTCTCATAAGTGTCAATTTTAAGAAGTAATTTATAGAAATACACCAATTTAAACATAAAATAATAGTGTAATTATATTATTCATATTTAAATGTTTGTGTACATCAATATAATTGGAACTAAGGCATGCATTGTTTTACACAAGAAACATACCAATGGTTCTCATCTTCACCAAATTCAATAATTAATCAAAGGTTTCTCATGTCATTGAGCAAAATCAATGAGAGTTAATTCCCTTGTATTTTTATTTATTACAAATTTATTTTGTAATTTGTCTCCACATTATGTGTTAATTCAAATACACAAAATTTGTGTTGATAGGGTGGACATGAGTTGAGCTTTTCACAAACTATTTGAGATCAGCTTGTGAAAAGCTTGATTTGGCTCGGTTTAAACCAAGTTCAAGCCAAATGAAGCTCAACTTGTAAGGCTTATGAGCTTAATGAATTTGATCTTGGGCCATAGTCAAGCTCTACTCGAGCCAAGATCAAACATATGAGCATTTGTATTTGAGCTCAAATCTTTGCTTGAATCAAAACCATGCCTCATATTCATTTGGCAAACCAAGTTTGAGTAGCCAAATATTTGACTCGACTGAGCTTGAATTCACCCCATAGGCAAGCAATGACCCAATGTTTTAAGTTAAAACTTGTTTGATTCATCTCTTTCTCACTTAGGAGAGAATACCAAAAGTTACCAATTTATGTTATATTCCTTTTCAGTTTATTCAAGTTCTTTACGTGATGAGTAATGAGAGAATCATCGCATGAGTGGGCACCACCCCAATTGTTAGAAGTAGATTTAAATTGGGATTGCAACTAAGGCATTAGTTTGAATGACCATGTCAACAATGAGGTCATGTTCATTATTGGGTGAATGCACTTACCCGAGTACTTACCCCAAGTAGGTGCATTTACTGTGTTCTTTTATGTCTAGGTAAATTTTTGTGTTACCATTTTTACCCCAATAGACTTTTGTTTTTAAAGCATTTAATGGGCAATTTTGTCAAGCAAGTTTTAGCATATTTCCCCTAGGTGGGAAAATTACTAGCATACTTGGGAGATGGGTATATCAAAGGGAAACTTCATTTTCCATGGGACCCACTTTATGAACAAGTAAACGCGGGAAAGTTAGTCTACTTTTCCCACCCATTTATCAAAAAATGAACAGGTCTTGGGTTAAAAGCGTTGCTCAAAGAGATAGCCTTAAAGTGATAGATAGGTGTAGATGACTCAATAGTCAAGATGGTTCTTTGGCATCCCTCCAAATAAGAATTGAGGGATCAAACCTGTACAACTGCATGCTCTTTGTGGTATTATGCCTAGTGGGCCCCACATTCACCATGCTTTTCTCCACCCCAATTCCCCTACACTGTGTAGTATGTAATACCAAATAAATAAAAAAGGGTAAATTGCAAATAGGCACCCTGTACTTTGGGGTAGTTTCACTTTAGGTCCTAAATTTCAAATGTGCCACTTTATTACTTTAACTTTTAAAATAAGTTTGGCTTTGCTCAATGAGGGATAAATTTATGAAAATGCCTATGTTCTTATTATATTTTTTTCACCATTAATCTTCTTTTACCTTTGGACTTTAGACATAAACCAACAGTGACAAAGTAATCTCACCCTGGTCTAAAGTAAGACTACCCCTAAAGTAAAAGATGTCCATTTGCAATTTACCCTAAAAGAGTACTCCTAGGGGTGAGCATATTTTGGTTAAAATCGAACAGTCAAACCAAAAATTTGGTTTTTGGATGTTGGTCATCACGCTTAAAAGTTTGGTTAACTGAAAAAACATAACTTTATTTAAATGTGCTATTGTATAATATATATATATATATATATATATATATATATATATATTATAATATTTAACCCATTTATTCAACCAAAATTAATATTTATTATAATTTTTAATAGAAATAACCATTTATTTAACTAAAATAAATAGTTGTGTAAATAATATTTAATATTAATATTTTTTGGTTCATGAAAAACCACAATCAAATTTGGTTTTAACCAAAATAACCAATTATCTAGTGTATGGGCCCCCAAATGGGAAGGTAAGGATATTTTAATAGGA